CTCTCACACCTCCCCTGGTGGGCAGGGCTGTGCCCCCAGTCCGGACCAGGCCGCCCTCCCCCACCGCTCTCACACCTCCCCCGGTGGGCGGGCCTGTGTGCCCCCAGTCCGGACCAGGCCGTTCCTCCCCTCCCCCGGCTCTCACACCCCCCCCGTGGGCGGGGCTGTGCCCCCAGGCCGTTCCTCCCCCCCCCCTCCCCCCCCCCCGGCTCTCACACCTCCCCCGGTGGGCGGGCCTGGCGATCCTGCCAAGGAGGAGAGTCCTGTCCCCGTGTCTCTAAGAGCTGGTCAGCCCGTGTGACCCAGGCAGGCGTGGACACAAGTTCCCACACGCCTGCCTGGTCCTCGGGGCACTGGGCCTGGGCCGTGGCTGGGACAGTGGAGTGTCCGGGGATCGCTCCCCCCAGGTCGCCCCAGCAGCTCCTGCCAAACCCACTGCCCACTCCCTGTTCAGTCCCACGCCAGCAGGTCAGCAGCCACACAGCACCCGGAGCCCAGGCCCAGCCCCAGGCCCAGCAAGCCCCGCTGGCTGCCCAGGAGTGGGTGTGAGCCAGCCCTCGGGATCCTTAAGTCCAGAGCCATGAGCTTGACTTCTGACCTCTGCCCAAGCCTGGCCAGCCAGGCTGGGGTGGGGATGGGTCATTTCTGACATTTTCCTGAGCCTCCACCTGCTTCTTGGGCGTCCAGATGGACCTGGTGGCCGTCCTCCAGCCACACCGACACGTTCGAGGAGGGCATGGGCATTGCCACATGGACCACGGCCCTGGGCCACGCCTCGTCACCGAGCCGTCACCACTCCTCGGGGGCAGGGAGCCAGCCCCGACCTGCCCCTCACACACCACCCAGTCCCACGGTTCAGGCCCAGTTTCCTGAGATCATTTTGCCTATGAGACCTTTGGACGCAAAAGGAAAAGATGCTCTTTCTTTTACTTATTTTTTATTTTATTTTTTAAACTATATTTTTTTATTTATTTCAGAGAGAGGGAACGAGAGAAACATCAAGGATGAGAGAGAATTATGGATCAGCTGCCTCCTGCACGCCCCCTATTAGGGCTCGAACCCAAATCCCTGTGTGTGCCCTGACCTCCTGGGTCATACACCCGGCAGGGCCAGGCTCTCCTTCTGACTTCTCCCTCCGCCCTCCTCCCCTGCCTGAGCCGGGCCGGCTCCCGGGGTGCGGGGGAGGGCAGGGGCTGCCCGGGAGGGGGCGCCGGGCGGGCTCGGCAGCCTGCGCCGAGGGTGGACCCTGCGGAGCCGGGCGCTGCTGCCCACCCGGGCCTGTGCGGGACCGGGCCGCCCCGGACAGGCCCTGCCCTCCGCGGGCCCAGAGGGGGCGCTCTTCCCGCGGCGGCGGGCCGTCCCACCGGGGACGCGAGGACACGGGCGCCGGGCTCACGGGCGCCACCCCCTGGACGGGCCCTGCGTGGGCCGAGCCGTCCGGGCGAGCGGGCCGCCCCAGCCCACGCATGTGTGGAGCCGTGAGCAGCGGGGGCGCCCTCGCCACGGGCTACACCATGACCTCCCCCGGGCGCCCGCCGCCCCCGCGGCCCCGGGAGAGGCGGGCGGTGGGCGGGCCGGGGCGGCTGCGCGGGGCGGGCACGGGCCTCCGGCCGGCGCGCGGGGCGGGGCGGGGACGCGCGTCCTCCGGGCGGTGGCCGTGCTGGTCGGCGTGGGCGTGGGCGTGGGCGTGGGGGGAGGGCGCCCCCGGGGCCTGCAGGGAGACTCCGGTGGGTCCCCCGTGGCTCCCCCAACTCGCCCCTCCGTCTGCCCCCCCCCCCGACGCTGACCCTGTGCCCGGCCTCGGCCCCGGGCCGGCTGTCTCCCTGGCCACCATGGCCCCTCGACCACCCGACTCGCACCCAGTCCTGCATTCCCTGGGGCACCGGAGCCGGCCCTGCACCCACTGTCCCAGGGCGCCGGAGAAACGGGGCCCTCGCCCTCCTGTCCCGTCACGGGGCCGCGGGACGGAGCCTCACGGGGGAGCTGGTGTCTCCGTGGGGACAGGAGGGACCTGGGGCCTCTCCTGGGACAAGGCTGACCCCCATTCAGAGGGGCTGGTTTTAACCAATCGGACGGGGCGGTTAGGGATGGGGTCAGGAGCAGCCCCTGGGGAGGAGCCGTCCGGCCGGCTCTGAGCTGCCCTAGGCCGGGGCCGGGGCCGGGGCCGGGGCCGGGCCACCCGCCCTGAGCCGGGGTCTGATCAGAGGCCCAGCAGGAGCCCCAGCCACGCGGGCAGACCCCACCCGGTCTCTGGCCGCTTCTCTCTCCCTCCTCCTCCCGGCACCTCCCCAGCCAGGCCCGGGCCGCCCCCCCCCCCCCCAATCTGGGCGCCCAGAACCCCTGGCCGGACCTCCTGGGGCACCCACAGGCGGGGACGGTGGAGGTGCAGGCGGACGGTGCGTCACTCAGGAGCTGAGGCCAGGGAACCGTGTTCCCCCCCGCCCCGCCCCGGCCAGCCCCCGGCTCCGGGTCTCTCCTATGGCTAGGGGGACACTGGGCCCCGTGGGGTGGACTGGGGACGGGCAGGAGCTGGACGGGGGGGACGGGGGGCGCGTACCTGGTGCAGGGCCTCAGCGCTCCAGCCCCGCATGCTGACCAGCGTGACCCGCACCACGGCCCCCGCCCGGCGGCCAGAGGCTGCGGGAAGGGAGGGAGGGAAAGAGGGCATGAGGGGGACAGCGCCGGCCCCTCAGACGGCTGCCCCAGACCTCCCGACCCTGTGTGCCCGGGGGTGGCCCTGGTGGTCCTGCCTGGCCCCCGGCACCCAGGGTGATGCTGGGTGACACTGGGGGAGGGCCTGAGGCTGGGCCCCGCAGTCGCCTCGTTAGGGCCCACACCCGGGACCGAGGGGGAGCCCCGGAGCTGCTGGGAGGCCCCCCCCCCCCGGCTGGGGGGCGGTGCAGGTGCTGGGGAGAAGGCGGCGTGGCGGCTGCGCCTCCAGCGCTCCCTCTACAGGCCACATCCTCCCCACTCTCCCCTCGGCTCAGCCCAGGCACCGCGCGGCCGTCAGGGACCAGGAACCAGGCCCCGCGGCCCTGCCTCGCGGTGACCCTGCCCGGTGCCCGGCTGGCGGGGGCGCTCACTCACCGCCGCCCGGGCGCCCCGGGCCCTGCGTGTGCCCCGCCGTGTCTCCACTGCTCGGACCCAGGCTGGAGCGGAGGGACGCCCCCTCCCCGGGCAGGGCTGCGGCCCCCGGCTCGTCCACGGACATCTCGCCGGACGCGTGGGAGCCGCCGTGGCTGCTGGCCCAGAGCAGGGAGAGGCGGCGGGGCAGCCGCTGGCCACCGTCCCCGCTGTGCGGGCCATCCGCTGGGCGCGGCTCCGGCTCCCGCGGGTCGCCGATGTACGTCTCCCGGTAACACGGCTCTGCAGAGCGGGCGGGGGGAGGCGATGAGAGCTGGGACAGAGGTGCCCGGGAGGCGCAGTGGGAGGGAGGAGTGGAGATCGGGCTCTGTGGGCAGCTGGGGCCACCGGTGGGATGTCACCCCGGCTGGTAAAACCCACAGGCCTGGGGCTCCCGTCCTGTCTGGGCGGGACGGCCGAGCAGCCACACACAGACACACGCGTGCACACACACATGCTCACGCACTCGCACCCCTCGGCCCCCTGGAGAATTCGTCCCACAGGAGGGCCCCGCAGTCGCCCCCCCTCGCCCCATCATTGGGCTCCCCACAGGGGCGGGCAGAGGGGACACCACCAGGTCCCCCCTGGGGACCCTGCCCGAGCCCACGCCCACGCCCACGCCCACGCCCACGCCCCAGGCCAGGAGGTGGTGGCCTGACCCTGAATGGAGGTGGGGAGTGCAGGGGGGGGGGGAGACCGGAGGGGGACAGGGCAGGGGGCAGGGGGGTGGCGCCCACCGTGGGCATCCTCCAGCCGCAGCCGGGCCAGGGCGGGCTGCAGCGCCAGGTGCAGCTGGTGGCTGGCGCGGAGCAGGCGCAGGAGGTGCCGGGAGCGGGTGGCGCAGCCCGTGTGGAACTCCAGCTTGTGGGCCGCGGGCCGCCCGTCCAGCCGGATCGTGAACTTCTTCCCCTGGAGGAAGAGGAGGAGGAGGAGGAGGAGGAGGAGGAGGAGGAGGAGGAGGAGGAGAGGGCACCGGGACAGGGCGACGTGTGAGCCGGCGGCCAGACCCCCCACCCCCCTCCGGGCCAGGGGCAGGGCAGGGGTGGTTAGGGGCTCCGTCAGGCGGGGCGCCCCTCGAGGTTATGAGAAGTCCAGGCACCCCCCTCGGCGGGGTGGGTGTGCACGTCTGTACGGACCCCAGGCCCTGAGTGCCGAGTGCTGAGTGCCGGCTGGCCCCGGGGCCGGTGGGCTGGGACCTGGGTGCCTGGAAGCCCCTGGCCCCGTGTGGCTCTGCCTCCTCCTCGTTCCCTGGGAGCCAAGGCTGCGGGCCCATGGGACAGCCCGTCCAGGGTGGGGTGGTCTGTCCCCTGCACAGCGCCAGGGCAGGCACAGGACGGTGGAGGACGGCCAGCTCCCTGGGCCCGGGCTGAGACCCGCCTCTCCCCTCGCCCCCCTCCCCCTCACCCCACCCTCCACCCCCCTTACCCCGTTCCCCATCCCCCTCCCCCGCCCCGGCAGACTCTCACCAGAACGGTCAGCTTCCCAATGCGGTGCCAGGGCAGGTCTTGGAGCAGCTGCCGAGTGCGGTTCACCTCCTGCAGGCATAGGCACAGGGCACAGGGCTCAGGAACAGGGCTCAGGGCACAGGCACAGGGCACAGGCACAGGGCTCAGGCACAGGGCACAGGGCTCAGGGCTCAGGCACAGGGCCCAGGGCACAGGGCTCAGGGCACAGGCACAGGGCTCAGGCACAGGGCACAGGGCTCAGGGCACAGGCACAGGGCTCAGGGCTCAGGCACAGGGCTCAGGGCACAGGCACAGGGCTCAGGGCACAGGCACAGGGCACAGGCACAGGGCTCAGGGCACAGGCACAGGGCTCAGGGCACAGGCACAGGGCACAGGGCACAGGCACAGGGCTCAGGGCACAGGCACAGGCACAGGCACAGGGCTCAGGGCACAGGCACAGGGCTCAGGGCACAGGCACAGGGCACAGGGCACAGGCACAGGCACAGGGCACAGGGCACAGGCTCAGGGCACAGGCTCAGGGCACAGGGCTCAGGGCACAGGGCACAGGCTCAGGGCACAGGCACAGGGCACAGGCTCAGGGCACAGGCTCAGGGCACAGACACAGGGCACAGGGCTCAGGGCTCAGGGCACAGGCACAGGGCACAGGGCACAGGCACAGGCTCAGGGCACAGGCTCAGGGCACAGGCTCAGGGCACAGGCACAGGGCACAGGGCACAGGCACAGGGCACAGGCACAGGGCACAGGCACGGGGCACAGGCACAGGCACAGGGCACAGGCTCAGGGCACAGGCTCAGGGCACAGACACAGGGCTCAGGGCACAGGCACAGGGCACAGGGCTCAGGACTCAGGGCACAGGCACAGGGCACAGGCACAGGGCACAGGCACAGGCTCAGGGCACAGGCTCAGGGCACAGGCTCAGGGCACAGGCACAGGGCTCAGGGCACAGACACAGGGCACAGGGCACAGACACAGGGCACAGGCACAGGGCACAGGCACGGGGCATAGGCACAGGCACAGGGCTCAGGGCACAGGCACAGGGCACAGGGCTCAGGGCACAGGCACAGGCACAGGGCACAGGCTCAGGGCACAGGCCGGGTCAGCGGGCGCCGGGCACCAGTCCCAGGGGGCTGTGAGGAGTCCACCCCTCACCTCGAAGACCTGCACTCCTCTGAGGGTCAGTCCCAGGACGATGGTAGGCCTTTCTTCCTTCTTATCCTAAGAGGACACCGTGTCAGAGGTCAGAGCCTCAGGGGGTGGGGGCTCCCCAGGGGCAACAGGGTCCCAGGCCCCCTCCGTTTCCTCCCTGGAGGCACGATGGGCCCCCATTCCTGCCCCTGCTCTGCCTCTCTCTCCCCGCGGACGGGCCTGGTCCCAGCTCCCAGCTCCCAGCTCCCGGCGGTGCTGCCGGGACCCCAGCCGCCGGCTCACACAGGAGGGACGCCCCCGTCCCTGGCCTGTGAGAGAGCCCGTCCCCGTGGCTCCGGACGGACAGGGACACGCCCTGCGGCGACGGCCCCGTGGGTCCCGCCCGGCCGTGTCACCGCCGACGGCTCAGGGGCCGCCCGGCCGTGTCACCGCCGACGGCTCAGGGGCCGCCCGGCCGTGTCACCGCCAACGGCTCAGGGGCCGCCCGGCACCGCGTGGGTCCCGCCCGGCCGTGTCACCGCCTACGGCTCAGGGGCCGCCCGGCCGTGTCACCGCCGACGGCTCAGGGGCTGCCCGGCACCGCGTGGGTCCTGCCCGGCCGTGTCACCGCCTACGGCTCAGGGGCCGCCCGGCACCGCGTGGGTCCTGCCCGGCCGTGTCACCGCCTACGGCTCAGGGGCCGCCCAGCACCACGTGGGTCCCGACCGGCCGTGTCACTGACTACGGCTCAGGGGCCGCCCAGCACCACGTGGGTCCCGCCCGGCCGTGTCACCGCCGACGCGGGCCGACCTTTTTCAGCCGGAAGAAGTGGACGGGCACGTCCTCCAGCCGGCAGGCCTCGCGGACGTAGCGCAGCTCAGCCTCCCGGGGGCTCAGGCCCCGCTGCTCACGGTGCAGGCCGGGCACGTGCCGCAGGAGGTAGGCGCTGCCCCGCTTGGCGATGACCTGGCCACAGGGCGCGGCGTGAGGCCCTCCTGCCCCTCCCCCCGCGGCCCCCTCCCCCGCCCCCGGCCCCGCCTTACCCACGGCGGGAAGTAGGCCTGGGGCTCGAAGTAGCGCCCGCTGTGGGCGCGGGCCCGGTGGTTGCCCAGGTCGGCCTGCAGCGCGTAGGCCGCCAGCAGGAAGTAGGCCTCCTCGCAGTGGGTGCCCTGGGACCGCAGCACCCGCTCCCGCAGGTGCAGGTAGTACAGGTGCCGGCCCGTCCGGGTGCTGAGGGCGGCGGGTGGTGAGGGGGCTCGGCTGCCGGACGCCCCACGGCCCCGGCTGAGCAGGAGCCTCCACCCAGGGGCCCGCCCCGCGTCCGCCCCCGCCCCCGCGCCCCCCAGGGCCGCCTGCGTCCCGGCAGAGGCGGCCGTGCCCGCGGCACAGCCTGCCTGGCGGGCCCCTCGCTCTGGCCCCGCAGCCGCACGTACCTGATGAGCCGCCCGTCCTCCACGTAGAACTGCACCCGGAGGAAGGCCACGAAGGGGGCCCGGGACCGCCGGCCCTGTGCGGGGTCAGGGGCTGAGGACGAGGGGCAGCGCGGAGTCCCCGCCACCGCCACCCGCTCTGCGCGCCTCAGGTCTCAGCGGCCCGGCCGCCGCCCCTCCCTCTGGACACACGTGGGCAGAGCGGGACCCGGGCCAGGCACAGGGCGGCCCAGGCACAGACCAGGCGGAGCGGGACCCGGGCAGGCCCTCCCTCTGGACGCACGGGGACGGGGGCCGCGGGCGGCCCAGGCACAGACCGGGCGGAGCGGGACCCGGGCAGGCCCTCCCTCTGGACGCACGGGGACGGGGGGGGGGGGGCGGGGGGCGGCCCAGGCCCAGCCCCGGGCCCCGGCGGAGCGGACACACGGGGACAGGGTGGGGAGACACAGGACGGCCCAGGCCCAGCCCCAGGCCCCGGGCGGAGCGGACCCAGGCGGGCAGAGGCCCCGGCCGCCCGCACGCACCTCAGGCCGCTCCCGGCTCCAGTCCGGGGAGAAGCACTTGCTGAGCTTCTGCTCGGGGTCTAGGAACAGGAACTCGCTGTCTGGAGGGGAAGCAGCGGCTCAGCGCCCGGCCCTGCAGGGGCACCGTGGCCCCGGGCGCAGAGGAGCCGCGGGGAGCTCCGAGGGCGGGTGCTCCGAGCAGGTGCCGCTCGGACGGCCGCTGGGCCGTGTCCTGGTGGGGCGACGTGGGCACCGGGCGAGCACAGGGCCGAGGTGCCAGACAAGGCCGGGGTTCGGGAGGAGGAGTGGGGAGCCCCCAGGGGGTCGGAGGTCAGGGTCAGGGTCAGAGCTTACTTTTGACCACGCAGAGGCCGAAGAAGTGGGGCTCCCGGAGGCCGGCCTCGTCGCACACCCGCCTCCACAGCTCCCGCCCCGTGGCCTGCACCTGCCGAGGGGCAGGAGGGCGGGCAGCTGTGCTCAGGCCCTGGTGACCGAAGACCGGGGCCCCCCAGGGCAGCTGGGGAACTCCCTGCTGGGCCCTGAGACCCCCACCCCCCATCGCCAGGCCCCTCCTGAGAGCAGGGCTGAGCCGGTTCTAGGTTCGAGTCCTGGCCCAGGGCATGCACCTGGGCTGCAGTTGGTTCACGTGCGGGAAGCAACCTGTGTTTCTCTCTCCCCCCTCCCACCTCTCTTCCCCTCTTCCCCCCTCCCCTCCCCCTCCCTCAGGTGAGGACCAACACCAACCAAGTGACAGCATCCAGTCGGAGGGGAGGCAGTGAGCAAAGGCCCCCAACGCCCCTGCTCACCCCCCGGCCCCCCACAGCACCCCTCAATGCTCACCCCAGCCCCCCCACAGCACCCCTCAATGCTCACCCCCAGCCCCCCACAGCACCCCTCAGTGCTCACCCCCAGCCCCCCCAACAGCACCCCTCAGTGCTCACGCCCAGCCCCCCCACAGCACCCCCTCAGTGCTCACCCCCGGCCCCCCCAGCACCCCTCAGTGCTCACGCCCAGCCCCCCCACAGCACCCCCTCAGTGCTCACCCCCAGCACCCCCAGCACCCCCTCAGTGCTCACCCCCCCAGCCCCCCCCACAGCACCCCTCAGTGCTCACCCCCAGCCCCCCCCAGCACCCCTCAGTGCTCACCCCCAGCCCCCCCAGCACCCCTCAGTGCTCACCCCCCAGCCCCCCACAGCACCCCTCAGTGCTCACCCCCCAGCCCCCAACAGCACCCCTCAGTGCTCACCCCCAGCCCCCCCAACAGCACCCCTCAGTGCTCACCCCCCAGCCCCCCCCCAGCACCCCTCAGTGCTCACCCCCAGCCCCCCCAGCACCCTCAGTGCTCACCCCCCGGCCCCCCAGCACCCCTCAGTGCTCACCCCCAGCCCCCCCCCACAGCACCCCTCAGTGCTCACCCCCCGCCCCCCCAGCACCCCTCAGTGCTCACCCCCCTGCCCCCCCAGCACCCCTCAGTGCTCACCCCCAGCCCCCCCAGCACCCCTCAGTGCTCACCCCCTGCCCCCCCAGCACCCCTCAGTGCTCACCCCCTGCCCCCCCAGCACCCCTCAGTGCTCACCCCCAGCCCCCCCAGCACCCCTCAGTGCTCACCCCCTGCCCCCCCAGCACCCCTCAGTGCTCACCCCCTGGCCCCCCCCAGCACCCCTCAGTGCTCACCCCCCGGCCCCCCAGCACCCCTCAGTGCTCACCCCCCGGCCCCCCCACAGCACCCCTCAGTGCTCACCCCCCGGCCCCCCCAGCACCCCTCAGTGCTCATCCCCAGCCCCCCCAGCACCCCTCAGTGCTCACCCCCAGGACCCCCAGCACCCCTCAGTGCTCACCCCCCAGCACCCCTCAGTGCTCACCCCCCGGCCCCCCAGCACCCCTCAGTGCTCACCCCCCGGCCCCCCAGCACTCCTCAGTGCTCACCCCCCCCCCAGCACCCCTCAGTGCTCACCCCCAGGACCAGCCGCAGCCGCTCCCCCGTGGGCAGCAGCACCAGCACGTCCCTGCCCTCCTCGGCCACCTCCTCGGCCATCTCCTCGGCCACCTCCTCGGCCACCTCCTCGGCCACCTCCTCGGCCATCTCCTCGGCCACCTCCTCGGCCACCTCCTCGGCCACCTCCTCGGCCACCTCCTCGGCCATCTCCTCGGCCACCTCCTCGGCCATCTCCTCGGCCATCTCCTCGGCCATCTCTCCAGCCGGGGCAGCTCCTGCGGAGACAGCGGTCAGGATGGCGGGCAGCCCCGCAGCTGTGGTCTGCGTCCACGGAGGGACGGGCCACGCGAGCCACCACATGACGGGCCCTCCCCTCCGTCCGGCCACGGCTGGGGTGCGTGGCACCCCAAACTCACCAGCTGTGGGCTTTTGAGGACGGGGCGCTGCGGCAGCTCCTGGCCGGGAAGGCGAGGGCAGGGCCAGGTCAGCCACCCAGCGGGACAAGGTCCAGCGGTAAATGCCGGCGAGCAGCTTGGAATGCAAATAAACACTGGCTGGGCCTCCTCCCTCCCCAGCCACGCCCGGCCACGCCTGCTCTGGGGACGGAGAGCCACACGATGCCCACGCCAGGGGCCCCCTCAGCCTCCTGCACACAGTCACCGAGAAAGGGGGTCAGAGCAGTGCCCCCCGCCTCTCCCGTCCCCAAACACGGTCCCCCTGCAGCCGCAGGAACCGAGAGCCACTCTCCTACTCTGAGAGCCACTGCGGTGCTGGCCTCCTGCTGCCCGGGGCCGGCCCTGTGGTTAGAGCTGCCCATCTCTGCCCGCTCCCTGCCCCTTCCTGCTCCCACTTTCTGCCCCAGCTCCTGCCCCAGCTCTGCTGAGACTCAGCCCCGCCACCCCCTCCCCCTCAGGCTGCCCTGCAGACTCGGGACCCGGGAGGCCCAGCCTGTCCTCTTCCCTCAGCTGAATGTAGAGCGACACATCTCTGACGGGCCGACCTGTGAGCAGCAGCCAATGACTTAGGAAAAGGCAAACCACCAGCCTGGCCCTCGTGTCCCCACTCACGTGTCCCCTGAAACCTGGCGTGGTGCCGGCGGCCACGGACTGAAGGTCACCGGTGCGCCCGTCACAGAGGACGCAGGGGCCACTCCTTCCTCCGGTGCCCGCACAGGGCAGAGCGAGAGGGAGCCGGCGCCTCGGCCACGCCCACACAGACACGCCCACGAGCACACGCACACACATGCATGCATGCAGGCGCACACACACACACACACACACACGCCCACACACACACACACGCCCACACAGACACGCCCACGCGCGCACGCACACACATGCATGCATGCAGGCGCACACACACACACACACACGCCCACACACACACACACGCCCACACACACACACACACACGCCCACACACACGCCCACACACACAGCGGGCAGGCCCCAGGGGCCGAGAACGGACTGATGCTCACCTCCTGGAGGCGCAGCCCCCGCACCTGCCCCAGCACCGCTGTGCCGGCTCCTGGAGGAGGCAGACGTGAGGCTGGTGCCCGTGCGAGGCCTCGGGCCAGCCTGGCTGCACGTGTGGTTCGGGCCTGGGGGGAGCCGGGAGGCGGCCTCACGGCACGTCACCGGAGGGCTGTCCTCTGCCGGGTCCTCCTCCGGCTGCCGGCCCTCAGCACCGCGGCTGGGGCATCCGGACACAGAGCTGCCCTCGGCACCAGCCAGGCCCACAGCGATGGGGACGCCGCCGGCAATAAAAAGGCGCAAAGTACGGCCGTGCGCCGCCCGGTCACAGCCTCTGGACCGTCACGGGGCCAGGCAGAGCCGCCCACGCCCGCCTCTACAGGAGCCGAACCGCCCGGAAGGCAGCCCGGGATGGGTAACACACATGGCAGGTTATGCCACAGAGCGGCGGCCTTCCCAGCAAGTGTGTGTGCACGCGTGGGTGCTGTGTGCACGCACAGGAATGTGCGTGTGCATGCGTGCCTGTGCCTGTGTGTGCAGTGGGCGGAGCCTCGAGGAGGGGGCCCGGGCCGGCTGGCACTGCGCCCTCCCCTCCCGCCCTGCCCCGCGCCCAGCTGCTAACATGCGCCCACCCTCCATGCTCCTCCAGGCCCTTGTGAGCTGGTTCCTGGGCCCCCGCGGGCGCCCGTTTCAGAAACAGCGTCTGAGTGGGAGGTCGAGCTGCCCAGTTAGGGGTTCGGGGGGCGGGGTGGCCAGCTCCACCACCAGCACCGCCCGCTGACCCCGGCCTCAGGAGGGCAGGTGTGACCCCGCCTGCCCGCTCCCTCAGCCTCCACCCCGGCGCCTGTCCTCCCTGAGTTCGGTGTGTGCCGGCTCCCCGGCTGGGGGGGGGGGGGGGGGCTGGTCCCTAGTCCCGGAGGTCCCCCTCCTAGCCAAGCCGGAAGGACACGGTCCCCGAGGCAGAGATGGATGACACAGAGCCTGCAGGCTGGGCCTCGCCCAAGGGGAAGCTGTTCACAGTGGGGGAGTCGGGTGCGCTTGCCCGGCTCCAGGGGGGACATGGGGGGCTGCCGCCTGAGCCCCCGCCGCCCACTGCTACGGTCACAGCTCCGGCGGCTGGGGCAGCAGAGGACCCGGGGGCGCTCCCCGTCTGTCCTTCCAGGTGCTGGACGGCAGGAGGGAGGGGAAGGAGTGACCACTTAATTACAGGGGCCCTCTTCCCCTTCAGCTCAGCTGAGACCAGATTCTTTGCATTCTCACAATCTCCCCTCCCTCCTCCCCCTTCTCCTCCCCCTCCCCCTCCCCCTTCTCCCCCTCCTCCCCTCCTCTCCCTCCTCCTCTCCCTCCTCCCCCTTCCCCTCCCCCTCCTCCCCCTCCCCTCCCTCCTCCCCCCTCCCCCCCTCCTCCTTCTTCTCTTCCCCTCCTTCCCCTCCCCCCCCCCCCTCCTCCTCCCCCTTCTCTCCTCCTCCCCCTTCTCTCCTCCTCTTTTCCTCCCCCCCTCCTCTCCCTCCTCCTCTCCCTCCTCCCCCTACCCCTCCCCCTCCTCTCCCTCCTCCCCCTACCCCCTCCTCCTTCTTCTCTTCTCCCCCCGCTCCTCCTCCTCCTCCAGGACTGAGTCCCAGCACAGACACCAGCCTGGCCACCTCCTGTTACTGTAGGGTTGAGAGGTCCTGCCCAGGAAGCAGTGAGCTGTGGTCAGCAGCCAGCAGGGCTGAGTGGAGAAGACGGACAACAGACAGGCCCTGAGCTGCCCCTCCCCTGCCCACACCTCAGACAGGAGCACAACCTCCTTCAGTTCTTTTAGTAATGCTGCCACAGGTCACCTCGTCCCACTGACCGCTGGGCCTTCACTGGACCACTGACCCCTCACTGGACCTACTGACCACTGACCCCTGGGCCCTCGCTGGACCACTGACCCATAACTGGACCCACTGACCACTGACCCCTGGGCCCTCGCTGGACCCCAAGCCGCCCCAGCACCCGGACTCGGGACCCGCTGCTAGGAGCAGACAGGCTGAGTGAAGTACAATGGGTTTTGGCCGAAGGCTGAGCCAGGTGTGGGCTGTGCTGGGCTGTGGGTTCAGACCCAGCCTCCACGGCGGGCTGACCTCTGACCTGGGAGGGGCCGGGCTGGGAGGGAGGTCAGGTGCCTGGCTTGTGGTGCATGACGGGGTCACAGCCGGGCCACTCCAGGGGCGCCGCCGTGAGTGAGGCTGAGGCGGGGTCTCAGCTGGGACAGAGGACGGGGGCCGGCGGGCGGGGGGCCGGGGGCCGGGGGCCGGGGACAGAGCGACGTAAAGGCCCATGGACTGCAGACAGGCCTGTCAGGTCACAGTGTTTTAAAAACTGCACACACACCGCCTTTGGGACAGGCCACCGGGTCAGGCACAGCAGAGCCCATCAGGGACCAACAGCCGGGAGCCGGGAGCCAGGGCGGGTCCGTCCGGCGCGTGTCCTGGCGATGCAGACACCGGCATGTCGTCCCGGAGCCGAGGGCAGGGCAGCACGCTTGGAGCCGGTCTAGCTGGACAGTGCGTCCGCAGGGAGGGCCACTGGGCTTGGGGGCCGATGGCTGAGCGGGTCGGCCCAGGCCTGAGGGGGAGAGGGGAGGCCCGGGGCCAGTGGGAGCACCTCTTGTCAGGGACTGGCCTGTCCCGTTAACTGGTGACCCGGCCTAACTGGTGACCCAGCTTAACTAGTGACCTGGGTTAACTGATGACTTGGGTTAACTGGTGACCCAGATTAACTGGTGACCTGGCTTAACTAGTGACCTGGGTTAACTGGTGACCTGGCTTAACTAGTGACCCGGGTTAACTGGTGACCCAGCCTAACTGATGATCTGGCTTAACTAGTGACCCGGCCTAACTAGTGACCCGGGTTAACCGGTGACCCGGCCTAACTGGTGACCTGGGTTAACTGATGACCCAGGTTAACTGGTGACCCGGCCTAACTGATGATCTGGGTTAACTGGTGACCTGGGTTAACTGGTGACCCGGATTAACTGGTGACCCGGCCTAACTGATGATCTGGCCTAACTGGTGTCCCGGGTCCCTCCAGCGGTGGACAGACAGACCGTGGAAGAGGGCAGGCGGCCTGAGGGACCACAGCCGGCTCCAGGGGCCGTGAACTGAGGCCACCATCCCCAGAGCCCTGAGGGCACCTAGAGGGGGTGCCCAGGGCTGCGAGCCCCGTCCTCCTGGGGGTTCTGGGGGCGAGGCAGTGCGGCTTCCAGAGCACTCACTCCGGGCCTGGCACGGCTCCCAGCGGGCTCCCGGCTCCCAGCGGCTCCCGGCTCCCAGTGCCCCCCGGCTCCCAGTGCCCCCCAGCTCCCACTGGCTCCCGGCTCCCAGCAGACCCCGGCTCCCAGCTCCCAGCGGCCCCCCGGCTCCCAGCGGCTCCTGGCTCCCAGTGGCTCCCGGCTCCCAGCAGGCCCCGGCTCCCAGCTCCCAGCGCACCCCCCTCCCCCCCGGCTCCCAGCGGCTCCTGGCTCCCAGCTCCCAGTGCCCCCAGCTCCCAGCGGCTCCTGGCTCCCAGCGGCTCCTGGCTCCCAGTGGCTCCTGGCTCCCAGCTCCCAGTGCCCCCCGGCTCCCAGAGGCTCCTGGCTCCCAGCGGCTCCTGGCTCCCAGTGGCTCCTGGCTCCCAGCGGCTCCTGGCTCCCAGTGGCTCCTGGCTCCCAGCTCCCAGCGGCCCCCCGGCTCCCAGCGGTTCCCGGGCAGCTGGCCACCTCACCAGCCCTGCCAGGCTCTCAACAGACAGGCAGTGGATCTGTGGAGGCTGGGCGGGAGCCAGGGTGCAGAGTGGGGTGGTGCCAGGAGAGGCTGGGGGGCCTGGCAGAGGGGTGCC